GCTGAGGCAGGAGGATCCCCTGAACCTAGGAGTTTGAGGCTGCAGTGAGCTATGATCACACCACTGTACTCCAGTCTGCATGACAGAGTGAGATCCCGTTGAAAAAAAAAGAAGTGGTGAAAGGGGCATCCTTGTCTTTTTTCCATTCTTAGCGGGAATGCTTTCGACTTTTCCCCATTCAGTATGATGTTGGCTGTGGGTTTGTCATATATGTATTTTATTATTGTGAGTTTTGTTCCTTCTATGCCTAGTTTGTTGAGAGTTTTATCATGAAAAGAGCTTTTGGTTTTATTGATTTTCTCTTTTTGTTTTGTATTTCATTGATGTCAGTTTTCCTCTTTATTTCCACTTCTTGTAGTAGCTTCTTAAGGTGAATATTTATCATTGTATAATCTTTTTCTTTTCTAATACAGGCATTCAATGCAACAAACTTCTGTCTAAGTGTTTCTTTTAGCTACATTTCATAAATTTTAACATATTCTTTTATTTTCATATTCATTCAACTCAAAATGTTTTTTTTCTAATATCACTGGTGATATTCTTTGACCCATAAGTTATTTAAAAGTATGCTGTTTTATTTTTAAATATTTGGACTTTGTTCAGGTGTATTTCTGTTATTGATTTTAATTTTAATTTTGCTGTGGAAATAGAACATACTTTGCATTATTTGTATCATATTACATTTGTTGAAATTTGTATTATGGCCCACAATTGTCTTTTCTGGTAACTGTCTTAATCTGTTTAGGCTGCTTTAACAAATTACCATAGACTGGGTGGCTTAAACAATAACTTCTTTCCCATAGTTCTGAATGCTGAAAGTCTGAGATTGGGGTGCAGACATGGTCAGGTTCTGGTGAGGGCTCACTTCCAGGTTGAAGACTACATTTTCCTCTTTGTATTCTTACATGTGGGGAAAAAGCAAGGAAGCTTTGGGAGATTCCTTTTTAAAAGGCACTAATCCCATTCATGAGGGCTCCAGCCTCATAACTTAATCATCTTTCAAAAGCCCCACCACCTAATACCATTCCATTATACATTAAGATTTCACCATTTGAATTTGGGGGTACATAAACATTCAGTCCACAGTGATTATTTCATGGGCACTCGAAACTCATATGTATTCTGCTATTGTTGGGTGTAGATTTCTACAAATATCAATTAAGTCGAATTGATTGTTGGTAGTATTATAGCCTTTTATGTTTCAAATATTATTTTTTCTTCCCCTTTCTTTCTCTCTTCTCCTTCTGAAACTGCAATTACTCAGTGTTAGAATGCTTGGTGTTGTTCCAGAGCTCTAGGAGGATCTCTTCTGTAAAAGTGCAATAGGCACTTTTGCTCCTTTTGTTTCACTTCGGATAATTTCTGATGGCCTAATTCTTTTCTCTGCTGTGTCCAGTGTGCTGATGGGCCCTTTCACTAATTCTTTATATCTAATATTGTGTTTGTGTTTTATCATTTTATTTGTCTTTCTCTTTTTTATAGTTTTAATATTTCATCTGAATCCTTCCATCATGCGTATTAATCATGGCTAGTGTAAGTCTGTATCCCATAATTCCAGCTAATCTTTGTATAATTATGTTGACTATTTATTCTATGGTCCTTTTTTCTTGTTTTTTTTTTTGATATGTGTCTTATAATTTTTATTGCATTCTAGCCATTGCATATATAAAGAAGAGTAGAAACTGAGGAAAGTTATAGTTATTTCTAGTTCTTTCCTCTCACTCACTTTTGTGCCCAGGCTCTCTTCCTGTCATCCTGTGCCAAAGGAGAATTTGTTTGTATGGCCCACACCTCCCTAGGGCTTTTGACTCTTTGCTGCTAAGTTTACCTAGTTATCCGTGACTTCAACTACCTGATTCATTCAAAATACAGCATGATTTTGTAGATTAATGGTCTTTTTTTCATTGTTAGAGTGGAACTGACATTCTTTTGTGGATTTCTCCATCCTTAGCAGAAGTGGAACTCTTTTTTTTTAAATTCAAGTTGTCATATGTCCCCTTTAGCAGTTCTATTTTGATAGAAACCACCTGTTATAGGGATCCTGCTTGTTCTTCTTATTCATTGTTAAAGGTCTCCTTAGGTACATTATTAATTTCCTTTGTCTCTTTTGTGGGACTAAAGTCCAACTGCCAAGATACCTGAACCAGAAACAAGGGAAGGGAAAGCACAGCCAGTCTCTGCCACTGTGAACTTGAGGAGTACCAATAGGCAAGTTTGCAGTTGCAGGTGGAGACAGTGGGAGGAAGTGTCTCCCCCTCTGGTGTCCTCAGATACAAAATCTGAAGTTTCCTGCATGAGGAGTGTGGAGACAGCCACTTGCTCACTCCCATGTAAATTCTGGGGCCAGTGATTTGGCAGCTCCTCTCTAGAACACACCCTTGGCCACACTTTGAGCTTCCTCCAGGAAGATCCAATGGTTATCACCCCAAGGCGTTCTTCCTGGGTCCCCAGGCTGTCAAGTTAGAGAAGAAAGAAGCCGTAAGAGAGCCTTTCAGGATCTGGGTCACATCGTCCCAGCCCAGGCCCCCAGGAGGGAGGCAGGCAGCATGGCAGGTTCATCTACATCACCATCTTCCTAGGAATTTCCCAGGACCTTAATCCTCTGTTTCATTATTTCTAAAATACTTTCTTTTCAACTTAGTTTACTATGGATCTTCCATATGAAGCATATCACATCTGTGATCACAGCATATCACATCAGTGCCATTCTCTCCTTGCATGTAAGCACTCTAAGGAGAGTGGTGTTTTATTTCTGTGCTGTCTTCATACAATAGCCTGACTTATTTATTTAAATGACATTAAATGATATTGGCAGTGTGTTGTGTCTCTAGAGTGGAATATAAGCACACTTAAAAGATAAATCTGCAATACTGCTGTTCTCTTTGCATCCTCAGATGTGTGCACTGAGCAAGGACTTCAAATGCCATGTCCCTGGAGCACTCCTTGTTTACATTCATATTGAGCCCCTGGGAACACAAGGAGTTTATTTAGTACCGTGAGAGATGTCTGCTTCTGTGGTTGTTCCACTGTGATTTCTTTGAATAATTTATCAGCTACTTAACACTCATCAAATTTGGCTTTTTATGTAGAAACTGTCTGTAAGCTCTCTTACTTTTTATCTCAGAGTTTGAAATACTGTCATTAGAAATAAATGTTTCTCTCTAAACAAGAATCTCAATGTTGGAGAAAAGAAAGAAAAACCTGGTGTATCTCGTGACTGCCCTACGTGATATATATTAAGCACCCATTGCCTCTCTTTACTAGGCTGGTGAACTTGAGTTCATTATTTTTCCATATTTATTCATGTTTGCATCATCACTCCTCTTCTCTTTTATTCTATCCCAGGTGCTGGGGTTCCCCAGTTCCAGCCAATTGCCCTGAACGGCCGGATCCAGGTTCTCAGCAATGGGTCGCTGTTGATCAAGCACGTTGTGGAAGAAGACAGTGGCTACTATCTCTGCAAGGTCAGCAACGATGTGGGCGCAGACGTCAGCAAGTCCATGTACCTCACGGTTAAAAGTAAGGAAGAAGAAATGCTTTGTTTTACCTACATAGGTCTTTGGGGGCTTAGATATTTCCATTGTCTCCATACATACCTGTGACCAATGGTTCGCCATAGCTGGGTTCGAAGTTTTGCTGTTTTAGAAACACAATTGAAAAGTATGGTAAAACTCCAGCCAGTCGTCAACAGCATGCCCTGCCTGGGGCCCCTTGTGCCTAGAGCACAGAGCAGCCACATTCTTCTCTCCCTACGGTTCTCAGAGCCATTGGCTCTGGGCAACCTAGCAGATGAGCAGGTCTCTGCCTTTAGCGCTCAAATTTATATACTGTTGCTTTTACTGTGGAAAAGCCCAATACGTGGTCTCAGATGTGTTCTTTACTAAAGCCTTTTTGTGCATGTTATTAATTGCATGCTGGCTTGTCCATAGATTTCTTTTTAGAGATCGTTATAAAATCAAGTGACTGGAAACCTCATTATCAACAGCAAACAACTATGAGATAGGAGTGTGTAGCACCAGGCTTAGGGTCTGTGCTGCTGGCCCAGTTTATAGGAAAGTGTCCCTTATGATAAAGGGTTTTTCATGCTTTGGTAACTGACACCAAGAAAAGGATATAAAGTGAAACAACTTTTACCGAATCCTGCTTATTAACAAATGATTGTGCATTTAGTTTGAAGTGAATGGTTTATGTCCATTTATATAATTTTCTGTTGGATAAACTGTGATTTCTTCTTGACTACAAGGCTTTATTGAGACTTCCTCTATGTTTAATTTTAATTCTGCTATTAATAGTTTGGAAATATTTCTGCCATATCATTTATTTGGAGGAGTGGATTTAAAAGTGAATTTCAGTGAGGTGTGTAAGTTTGTGTGTGTGTGTTTGTGTGTGATATTTAAAGGCTAGCTACACAAATTAGTAGGCGTCATAATTCACTAAGAATTTATTTTAGTTAGTTAATTATTTCCAACAGAACAATAAAAATATCAAAGTATTTGTTTGCTAAACTTAAGTATTGTAAAACAGATTATGGTTCTGAAATGAGGTTGTTTTGAAATATGTTTTGCACATATTACACAATTTTTGACTTCTAAAATATATGCTTTGGAAAAACTGATTTTCAAAAATCTGATGCCAAATCGTGTGGTCATTTAAATCCAAAGCTGAAATAGTAATATTTAAAAATTATAAATCGATAAAATAGTGAAGAAACCCAAAAGCTGAAGATCAATGTTGACCAGAGTTGGTCCATCCTTCTCCAACAAAAGAAATGTATATTACAGTTGTTCTAATATATTTTATTTTATTTTGAGATAGGCTCTTGCTATGTCACCTATGCTAGAGTACAGTGCTGTGATCATAGCTCACTCCAGCCTCAAACTCCTGGGCTCAAGTGATCCCTCTGCCTCAGCCTCCCTAATAGGTGGGACTAGAGGTGCATACCACCATGCCTGGCTAATTTTTAGAATTTTTTTTTTTAGAGATGGCGTCTTGCTATGTTGCCCAGGCTGGTCTCAAACTCCTTGCCTGAAGTGATCCTGCCCCCTTAGCCTCCCAAAATGTTAAGTTTACAGGTGTGAACCATGCTCCCAGCCATATATTTTAAATTTATAAGACATTTTCCTGTTCCAAAAATACATATCTAGGACCTGATATATACAGGGCCCTATGAAGGAGGTCAATACAGTCAATCATGTATCTTATCCTTGTGAATGAAAGAGCTTATTTTTTGGAAAGGGAGATAAGAAAGAAGAAGGCAGAGGCTACCAATCCTAATGCAAGATGAAGAATAACATGTACTGTATCTGCGATTTTCAGAGGAGGATGGAACTGTCAGTTTGAGGGGATTAAGAAAACCTTCAGGGAAAAAAAAATCTTAAAGAATGGGTAGAATTTTAAAACGCAGAAGTTGAAGATTTCCCACATCTCCTGTCTCCATACCTTGGTACCAGGTGCTGGTCGTAGGGCACGGGGCGGAGCTGAAGAGACGACCTGGCCCCTGCCCTAGGGAGCTCTCTCTGGGGGCAGCGGGCATGTGTGTACGGCTCCCATCTGGCAGACGCACACGCATGGGAACAGAGCACAGCACCCTGAGCGCGCAGAGGAGGGTGTGATCTGCATTCGCTTGTAGAATCCGTGACTGTATGCAGTGGGCTGAATGTTTGGTCCCCCTAAAGTTCATAGGTTGAAATCCTGTCCCCCAATGTGACGGTGTTAGGAGGTGGAGCCTTTGGAAGGTTTGAGTCACAAGGGTGGAGCCCTCATGAATGGTATTAGTGCCCTTGTGAAAGGGACCCCAGAGAGCTTCCTCACCCTCTTTTCATCACGTGGGGATACACGGGTAGGTGGCTGTGGTCTGCAGCCAGCAGGAGGGTCCTCGCTAGACCCTGACCATACTGGCACCTTGTTTTTCAACTTCCAGGCTCCACATCCATGAAAGATGAATTTGTGTTATTGATAAACCACCCAGTTTATGGTATTTTGTTGTAGCAGTGCGAGCTGACTGAAAGACTATCGTGGCACCTGGTATCAGTCTTAAACGATACACGGGACTTCAACATGTAGGATGGTTGGGCTAGGAGGGGTATTCCAGGGAGCGGGAGCAGAGACAGCAGATACAAGAAACTGAAAGATCCAAGGCGAGAGGTGACTCTCTGAGTGCCGCACAGTTCGTGGAGGAGATTAGAGATGGAAACATTTTAAACGACCACACTTCAAGGAGAAATGATTCTTAGATTCTCAAACCAATACGACCTGTTAAGGGAGAGATGCCTTTAAATACGTTAATTTTACCATTTCCTAATAACCCCTGGCTGGTTTTACAAACTGCTTCGGCTTCGAGCTTCTGGTATTTTAAATTCTTTAAAATCTTAATATTCAAATTCTAAAAAATAAAAAAAAAAAAAATTTAATGCTGGGAATCGTGCATGGGCTGAGTCTCCTATCTAGGAAGTTTTCTCACAGCTTTCAAAAAACACCCCCCAAATTAAAGCATTTTAACAGAAAATACCCACCACACACACGCACACACATACACCTTTTTTTCTTGAATCGGACATGCGGAGGCTGTGGGCAAAGAGTAGAGCAGGCAACCATGTATGGATGGCGCTGCCATGGAAAGCTATCAGTGGGATAGAGAATTAATCTGTGCAAATCCTTCCAGTTTGGTTGAAAAGGCAGGGGGAGCAGGCTCTGCTTGCAGCCGGATTTGGTCTCCGACGATGACATCGCACCCCTCACCCCAGGCCCATTGGGGCTGCAGAAGCCTCACGGCACCCTTACAGCCGGCCTCTTCCCCCACAGCAGGGACCATTTGAGGTCTGGGAAATGCGGTCTTTCATGCTAAGAAAATAGTTCCCCAAACCACTGGATTTCATAAATAGATGGCTGTCCCTAATGTTTGTCTCAGTTGCCAAAATTGCATCCTCCCTGCTCCCAACTTTCTGCCGCTGGCTGATCTGAAGCCATGTGTTCCCAGGAAGACCGGTTTCAGCGTGAATCTGTAGCCCACGACTAACAGGCAGCTCTTCTTTTGTCTGCTGCTCTGCATAGGTGCTTTCTGATCCCTGCACGCGGCATAAAAGAGCATCGCTTATCAAACAGGGCAGGCGCTTCCCTGGAGAGTCGGCTACTCTTGGAATCTAATGAACGGCCTGGCTCCCGGAGCCGGCCCACGGGCTGCAGTCCGCCCAGGCCCTGCATCCTCCCTCCCCTCCTGCTCACGCTGGGTAGGTCCGTGGGTCGTTGTGCCCGTCAGATCTCTGTGCTGTTAGAAGGAGTGTGCACATGCGTGTGCGCGTGCGTGCATGCACCAGCTCGCTCAGATTTGATCTGACAGCCCTCGGGGTCTTGGCTTTTTCTGGACTGATCTCCACAGTGTGATTTAATCTTTTTAAAATTTCAATAGACTTAGGGGTACAAGTGTTTTTTGGTTACATGGATGAATTGTATAGGGGTGGAGTCTGGGCTTTTATGTACCCGTCACCCGAATAGTGTACATTGTACCCGACAGGTAATTTTTCATCCCTCAGGGCTGTGCATTCCTTGTTCTGAGCCTCCAATGTCCATTATACCACTGTGTACGCCCCTGTGCACCCGTAGCAACCTCAGGCCGCTCTTATACCTTCCCATTGCCAGGGCGGGTATGTTGGGCTTGACATGCAAAAGTCTATCTCCTTCCCCTGGAAAGAATCTGTATCTATCCCTGGATATTCCAGTCAACCCCTGTGGCTTTCTGCCCTTGCCATTGCCACCAGGACCCACAGAACTTTCCCCTAACGCCTAGTTAGCGAAAGCAAAATCTCTTTCTCTCGTCCTTGCAGCGTGGCTCTGTGATCCTCCTAGGAGGAAAAGCACAGCCCCAACCTGCCCCCAGGGTGAAGCTGCAGTGGCCTTTAATCAGTCCCACCTAACGTTTTCCAGGTCACTCTGGCAGGCCACCCTCTATTCTAGGAACAAGAGATGCGGCCTTGTTTGCCCTTTGTTTTGCTCTTGCGGAAGAAGAGGAAGTAAAGTTTGAAAATATAACATCATTAAATGGCTTTTTTGTTGTTGTTCCTAATGTGCCAAGATAGCTTGAATGTGCCAGACAGCCGACTCTATTTTCCCGCCATTGCTTTACATCCGAGAGCTTGCACATCAAGGCTCCCAAACCTCTTCTCGGGAACCCCAGTAATCTGGGGACTCCCTATCAGGAACCTTGGGAATCATATGCAAAAACGTGCGTGTGTGTCTGGGAAGAAACTAGCCTCGAGGGATTTCATGATGCAGAGAAGATTAGGAACTACTATTCCAGAAAATCACACCCTGGATGGCCCGAGAGAAAGACCAGACGCTGTGCTTTTCGTGCAGCCTGTCTCAGAGCATCGAACTGAACGCAGCCGAGCGCGCGAAGACCCAGGAAGGAGGAGTGTGCGCCCATAAATCAGGCGGCAGGCTAGGATTCACTGAAAACTAGGTCTTGATATTTCATTACCTTTGCTTCGCGTCCACTCTCTTATTGCAGCCTTGGGGCATATGTG